CATTACACACCCCCTCCGGTCTGTTTTCCTCCAGTTCCACGATCCCGCCGGCAAACTTGAAATCCGTCTATTGACACTAGAGAGTCATCTACGTCCTTATTCAACCAGGATTCTTGAACACAGACTGCACACGTGTTTTTATGAGCTTTTATACCGAAAGAGTTAGCTACTGTGTATTTTACAACGAAGAGAGGAATTCATTGCAGCACAAATTGGTGAGATTGGCCTTATACTTGGGTATATATTAGTCACGGGTCCATACAACTCGGAAAAGGACTATTCAACTTCGCTTTTGATCATTAGGTCGAAGCTGTACACATTTTGAAGTGTCACTAATGTGTGCTTTGCGGACTGGTGTATGGTGTGTACGTGCACATTCTTTGAGTTCTTCAATCAGGAATCGCCCAGCTGAAGTTCACTTAAGTCCTTGGCACATGTGTACGCCTGGACACACTGGTGCACCAACGCTGCGATTCAGTTTTCAATCAATTAAGGCTTGTCGTGACCCGGGCTCTTTTGCAACCGAAAATCCCTCATCAATCTAATTTAACTGGAATACAGCGAATCACCATTAGACACTGGATGCCGTCACGACAACAGGCGGGTTATTCAAGCGTTACGCGAACGATCCACTAAAGCTTTTGACGATTTTGAGCGTAAAATTACGAAGGTTTGTGTGATGATTGCACATAGACTATGAATTCCTTTTTATTTTATTTACCATGATAGATAGCCCTGTACATTCCAGCTTTCTGCTGATTTCAAGTCGAATCCGTTGTTGATTATTGCGTTCTAATTTCATTCCGAGCTCTGGTATTGGGTAGTGCAGAGTTTGGTGCGTGCACGAGTAACTAGTCCAATTGAGAAATATAACAACTGGCGTTGCGGTCCTCTGGAACAAATGAAATCCTGTAAGTTGAAGAATCTGAACAAAAAATCCAAAATTATCTAGATCTATTCAAGATTCGGAAAGGACTCGATGGGGAACACAAAACCGCTAATTTCTCAACGATGATCGGGAAGGATTCATATTCTCTGTTGGAGAATTTGGCTTTTCCGAGCACTTCTACATCACTCACAGATGAATCATTGAAAATCTTGCTGCAGTCAGCTTATTTCGAAGCAGCTGAACGAACCAAATTCGATTCACTCACAAGTGTTGTAAGACAACCAATAGATGACTTTATTCTTCAACTTCAAACTCAAACATCGCGATGTAATTTCAGAGATGGAGTGCAAATCCTGCTACGTGATCGAGTAATTTCCGGTATTAATTTACCTAAACTCCAGCAAAAGCTCTTGCTAATGCGTGATTGCGCATGTCACTGGGACAAGGCAGTTTGTGAACAGTACCGAGACGTTCGAGCGATAATTTGTGATGAACCTAATGTGTTGTTCAATGTCACTAATTTCAAACATTCACCATCCCGGCGAAAGAGGTTTTTCTAAAAGGACTCAATATACCGTGCAGCACCAGTTCTCCAGTCCGCAGTGCCCAACGGATTCTGCATTGGAATGAGAGTTTGGTGGTCAAAGACATTCGCGTTTGACCTGTAGATTCCGTAATGCTAAGAGTCACGAGTGCGGTAAGCTTGAACATTTTCAGTCTTTCTGTAAAAGCGAAAAACCCTCTCTTACAGATTGCATGACTGTTTATTCTTCCAAATATTTATCATCTGATTTACGATGCCTTACTCTGGCTGGTACAAGTTTACATCCCTCTCGCCACACTACTCCAAATTTTCACCGGCTATTTTTCCTATCGATTCCTATTTTACTATAATTGGTTTGTATTGCATGAACCCTATGCACGTCTCATTTTCATTTATGTCTGACCCGCATTAATCAATGAAGCTTTCGAAAATATTGCGCGTATAATGAAGAAGTTTTGTTTGGTGACTATGAACTCGTTTTTTTGTTTTGTTGAACACGATAGCTTTTTACATTCCAGCTTTCCGCTTATTACAAGTCGATTCCGTTGTTGATTACTGCCTTCTAATTTCATTCCGAGTTCTGGTTTTGGGTAGGAGTAATACCGCGCGGAGTTCGAAAGGTACACGAGTAACTAGTCCAAGTGCGAATCATAACAGTTAGGCCCAAGTAGTACAGACTGTCCCACATAGTTGATCAGATTTGGGCGATTGTGATCTTCTGACTACAGCTTGTTACTTGTTTTGAGCGACTTGAATGTTTTTTAGTTGTAGCTTTTGTTTCCATTTGAGAACTGTTCTCCGCGTGTGTTATGTTCATTCATTTATCCAGTTGACCTCGTGCATTGGTACGTTCAATGTTTTGTTCCTTCGACGAAGTTGCTAATATGGCGTTTATGAAGGAACAGTTGACAGATGCATAAACGCTCCTGTGGCTCCAAACATTCGGTGCTTCGTTAACGATTGGTCTATGTAAATAAATGTAAATTCTTATGGGCTCACCCAATTACTGCACAGAAAATCTCACCTCATTATAAGATTCTTGCAATATAATTTACAAATTCATCAAACATCTGAACGCTAGGTTATGCTACCCTCGTTTGCGAAAAGAACATTCAATAATAGTGTTGTTCACATGCAAAATGAGGATAATAATCATGAAAGTAAAGCAATTGGGAAATCATGCTAAACAAGTCTGCTTCTGAACGTCGTTTGCATCATTAGATGTTTTAGCTGTAAACGGCCATTCTAAAAGCTTAAATGTGTTTCCTTTACTCCCTGGATTTCTTCTTGACATTCGTTTACAATCCCAAGTGAACTTACCGCTCATCGAATTTTCTTAGACTGGCTTCCAGAATACCGGACCCCGAAAGTCCGGTTATATCTTCAATGGCACTGATTGTCTTGTGCATAACTTCCTCATTCACGGTAACAAACAAGCTAAGTGGTTGTTTTTCAATGCGCATCTGAAATATGTGAAGTAGTGGTCGAAGAAACGCGCCAATGATTACAATTGCAAAAAATGTGATGAACACTGTAGTGGTCTGGTACATGGCTGGATTCACTCCGACCCTCTGAAGGCAACGCGGATCGATGATCTCCACCAAGCTGTGGCTCAGAGCACCACGAAGTCCACAAAAGGCAATGACAAACTTCATCGTCTTTGTGATTGGTTTACCCATCCAATGAAAGAAGTTAGCCAGGGAAGATAAAAAATAGACGACCAAAAAACGACTCAGTGTACACAAAACCAAACTTATTGCAATGAATTTCGCGTTCCAGACTTGTTTATGTATGACCAGTGTGTAGCCAATGCTCAAAAAGATGAGTGATTCCGAGACCGCGGCGGTCATATGAGCCAGTCGTTTGATTGTGATAAAAGATTTGACCGAAATGTTCTCAAATGTATAAGTGGTTTGAATCAAACCAAATACAAGTAGAGAGAACACACCAGGCCAACTTATTCCAAAATCGATCAGGTAAGCCAGGTAACCGGCACTGAGTACAATCAGCGGTTCAATCATAGTGTACTTGTATGTATATTTGGTTAAAAAGCTCGTCATTGAACCGACTATTGCACCAAGGAGACAGCTACCCAAAAATTTTACAATAAGGACAATAAAGCCAAAAATGCTGAGCTTAAACGAATTGAGTTTCACTTCGTCAGTGCAACTAATTGAATAAATAAAATCAAAAAGCACCAAAGTCACACCGTCATTGATGATTGATTCACCTACAAAGATAAAATATAAACTGGGATGAACTCGCATCTCACCCAGTATGCCAATTATGATGACCGAATCGACAGAACTGACAAGAGTAGCGAAAAGAAAAAATGCTACTGGGCGAGGTGTCCAATTGCCCAAAACAGACGGGAAAAGACAGATAATCAACCACAAGCCACAACTAATGAGCAAGAACACAAATAACGTCCCTACAAAGCCAAAGAGGAGAATTACCAAAAGATTTCGTAAAAAATAATGCTTTTGCAAATGTAAAACTGCCTCAAATATAATGGGTGGTAAAAATACAACGAAAAATGTTCTGTCGTTGAAATATTTCAGTTCAACATTACAGTAATTCGCAATATTTCCGAATATCACTCCGATAAGCAGAATGGTTATTGGTTCCGGAATGTATTGCAAACAGCTAAATCTAAATCGGTAACCAAGCTTCACCAAGCCGCATACTGTAATAAATAGAGTAACTACAACGAGCAATGAATTCCTGTACATTTTATCCAAATGAAATAGATTAGTCAACAGGGATAAATTAGGGGGGTGGAATATGTCTGAAGGTTGTTTCAATACTGTGTCATCATTGAACACTGACCCATTTTCGCTGGGCTGGTCGTTTATAGTTTGGTTGAAGATGTCATTGGTTTGCAAATCCNCATGGATGAACCGTGGCCGATGATCACTCCGCAAAATGTTTCGTCCGAGTCTAAAAGAACTTCAAGTGAAATAAAAAAGATCGTCAATCGAAGGAACATGTTTGAAATTAAGTTCAATCTTTGATTATCACGTATAATTTTTGTGATCTGTTACTACGTATACATTGAAGTCAAAGTTTAATTATGGGCGACTTGACGAATCTAAGGCTTATCGTGCCTCATAGGAATTTTAAAGATTTTTTGAATAAGTTTACAAAGAGAAAATAATGATAATGATATGCATGATCATTCACGGTTGTCGAAATGTTAAGTGTTCCAGTGCTTTCTCAAGTTGTGATATAAATAGTTCTACTGTAGGAGCGCACACCACTTGGGATGGAAGAGGATTCTGTACGCGGCACACTCTGAATGCAAACTAGTAATACCGGCAATCAAGGTGGCTGTTCTGGGTCTTCAACTTTAGTGGATTATTTTGGGATGAAGTCAGCATAGAACTGCAAGGGTGGTTGGGTCGATGAAGTATGTGGTGCGTCCCCACAAGTCAAGTCAAGTTAAGAAGCGGCTTTACTTCTCCCTATAGGGGATGAACATTCAGCTACTACACAATCACTCTTCTTTGGAAATTACATGGTAACAAAGCGTATGGTGATACGTTACATATACAAAAAGCCAAGTTAGCAAAGATTTTGTCTAAGAGTTCCAATGACAAGATCAGCGTTGGTAAGAAACCGTGCCAGATACGGTATTATAGAAGACTTGTATGTAGTGGTGCGTGCTGCTATATGTTT